TTTCATCTTTGTTTTGTAAATTTAGCTTTAACCTAAAAGTGTATGTATGTATGTGTATACACACACACATATATATTTCTTTCTTTCTTTCTTTTTTTTTTTTTTTTTTTGGAGACAGAGCCTCAAGCTAACGCCCTGGGTAGAGTGCTGTGGCATCACAGTTCACAGCAACCTCCAACTCCTGGGCTCAAGCGAGTCTCCTGCCTCCGCCTCCCAAGTAGCTGGGACTACTGGTGCCCACCACAGTGCCCAGCTATTTTTTGGTTGCAGCTGTCATTGTTGTTTGGCGGGCCCAGGCTGGATTTGAACCCACCAGCTCAGGTGTATGTGGCTGGTGCCTTAGCTGCTTGAGCCAGAGGTGCCGAGCCTATGTATATGTGTGTGTGTGTCTCTGTGTGTGTGTGTGTATGTGTGTATTTTTTATTTATTTTTTGAGACAGACTCTCACTTTGTCGCCCCTTGGTAGAATGCCTTGCCATAATAGCTCACAGCAACCCCAAACTCTTGGACTCTAGCCATCCTCTTGCCTCAGCCTTGTGAGTAGCTGGGACTACAACTACAACACCAGCTATTTTGTAGAGACAGGGTCTCGCTCTTGTTCAGGCTGGTCTTGAACTCATGAGGTCCAGCAATCTGCCCAGATTGGCCTCCCAGAGTGCTAGGATTATAGGAGTGAGCCACCTTGCTGGACCCAAAAGTGTGTATCCTGAATAGTTTAGGGCAATTGATTTAGGAGATTTTTTTGAGACAGAGTCTATGTTGCCCTTGGTAGAGTGCCATGGCGCCACAGCTCACAGCAACCTCAAACTCTTAGGCTTAGACAATTCTCTTGGCTCCTCATCCCAAGTAGCTGGTACCATGGGCACCCACCACAATGCCTGGCTATGTTTTTGTTGCAGCTGTCATTGTTGTTTAGCTGGCCCAGGCCGGGTCTGAACCCGCCAGCCTCAGTGTATGTGGCTGATGCAGTAACCACTGTGCTACAGGTGCCAAGCCTGATTGAGGAGATTAACTTTCGAATTGGAATGTTGTTAGATGGATCATGGGTTATGCTGATTATTGTTTATTATTGGTCATGGTGATATAGGACAGGTGGCACCCCAGCCAGCTCAGCAGGGCTGAGGGGAAGACCTGCCACCTCTGCCCTGGAGGTGTTGGTGCAGTGATAGCTGGCAAGGGAACCAGTAAGCTGGAGGGTGGGTGGGTGGGTGAGTAGGCAGGCCCCCCCCCCAGCCTCCCGCACCCCACAGGAAGCTCCAGTAGCCAGAGAGGCCAGAAAACTGCTGGGGAGGCACCAGCACCTTAGTGTCTCCCTCAGCTTACATTACAGCTCAACAGGGAACCCCCATTTCCCAGGCCTGGTCAATTTCATGTAAGTTTCCTAGGCCTGGGAACCAAAGGGATTGTAGCCATTCATTTACTACCGAGTCCACACTACATGGAACTACAGAGGACCCATCCTCCCTAAATGTAACTAGTGTCCCCGCTAGATGTAACAACAGAGGACCCATCTGTGCTAAATGTAACTACAGAGTCCCCGCTAGATGTAACAACAGAGGACCCCTGCAACCATACACACACAGCCCTGGACAAAGAGCCCAGCTAGAGAGAGAGCTTTTTTCCCCCAATTTGGTTTATTTCTCCCCGCCAGGAGCTTTGGTGTTTTTGTATTCTTTTCTGTAAATAAATCCTGTCTTATCACTGATCTGTGGTTCATGGATTTAGGATCCACTGAAGATGAAATTTGGCTATCAATGGGTTATGACAATTATTAAGATGTTAATTACTGTTGTTTAAGATAAGGGTTAATACAGTTCTTGCTTTTTACATTTCTATATAAAACTGTGGGCTGGGCACTGTGGCTCACACCTGTAATCCCAGCACTTGGGAGGCCAAGTGGATTTCCTGAGCTCACAGGTTTGAGAACAGTCTGAGCCCCCCGGCTCTAAAAAACAAACAAAAAAAATAGCTGGGCTTTGTGTCTGATGCCTATAATCCCGGCTACTCAAGAGGCTGAGACAAGAGAATTGCTTGAGTCCAAGATTTTGAGGTTGCTACGAGCTGTGACACCATGGCACTCTACTAAGGGCCAAAAAGTGAGACTCTGTCTCAAAAAAACCCAACAAAAACAAAAACAGGCTTGGCCTGTAGCTCAAGTGGCTAAGGTGCCAGCCACATATACCAGAGCTGGTGGGTTTGAATCCAGCACGGGCCTGCCAAACAATGACAACTGCAACCAAAAAATAGCTGGGTGTTGTGGCAGGCACCCGTAGTCCCAGCTCCTTGGGAGGCTGAGCAAGAGAATTGCTTAAGCCCAGGAGTTAGAGGTTGCTGTGAGCTGTGATGCCAGGGCACTCTACCCAGGGCAACAGCTTGAGGCTCTGTCTCAAAAAAAAAAACAAAAACAAACAAACAAAAAAAAAACCCAACTTATTTTGGAAATGGAATAACAGAACAGTCTTGGAGAGACTACTCTCAGTGTTCTGCAGAATTACTGACCTTCTAACAAATAGTTTGGTGGAACTATCCCCATCTCTACATATTGGAGGACACTGACAGGCATCTGGACCTTCTTTGGTAACATTGTTACTGTTTTGATTTTACAAAAAGCACTTCCTATTTTGTTTGTAGTTTCTGGTCTCCATCTGACCCACTGAGTGCTTTCTACAATGTAAGTAACAAGATAAAGCTGGCCACAGACTAAAGAAGCAGGAGCCAAGAATATGACCCCCTAACAGTTTTAGTATTTGTTTACTACATTCTGAGCTGTTACTAGGGGCCATTCATCAAATATAACTTACTCTACCCACCTCCTGTCCCCCTTTGGGTTGAGTGGGCCCACATGACTAGTTGTGGCCATTGTGTGATAAGTATAATTATCAGGCTGGGGCAATTTATTGCTGATATGTGGCTTTCCAGAACAATTTTTCCCACTAGCATGGCAACTGGCAATGTTTGACATGGGAGCTGATCCACAGATTAAAATTTGTTTATTGTTGTTAGTTTTGTTTTTGAAACCGGGTGTCACTCTGTTGACTGGGCTAGAGTACTTTGGTATCACAGCTCACAGAAAACTCAAACTCCCTGGTTTTGAGCAATTCTCTTGCCTCAGCCTCCCCGGAAGCTGGAACTGTAGGCACCTGCCACAATGACTGGCTAGTCTTGATGTCCTGAACTCAGACAATCCACCCATCTCAGCCTCCTAGATAGCTAGGATTATAGCCTCCCAAGTGCTCTGTTACTCAGCCTACTGATTAAGTTTCTAGGGAACTATTATAGACAGAGCTGCCAGATAACTTGGGATGGACAGATAGTATGAGTGGGAAATACATCTTTATTGTTTGGGTTTGTTACAAGAATGTATCCTGGCTCGGCGCCTGTGGCTCAAGTGGCTAAGGCACCAGCCACATACACCTAAGGTGGCGGGTTCGAATCCAGCCCGGGCCCGCCAAACAACAAGGATGGCTGCAACCAAAAAAATAGCCAGGCGTTGTGACGGGCGCCTGTAGTCCCAGTTACTTGGGAGGCGGAGGCAGGAGACTCACTTGAGCCCAGGAGTTGGAGATTGCTGTGAGTGATGCCACAGCACTCTACCCAGGGGGACAGCTTGAGACTCCGTCTCAAAAAAAAAAAAAAAAATCCTAGCCTATCCTGAGACAAGATAGTCTAAAGAAGGAAAGTAACTAACCCAAGATATTTCTTCTAAAGAAGACACTAGATGGTGACCTCCTTTTATAGCTCATCACTTTTTAAGTGAAAGAAGTAAAAACAATTGGGAAAATACAGGAGCAAAATGTAAAGTAACATCCATTGCTCTATTCTGTATGCATTGCTAACATTTGATATATTTCCTTTTTAAAAATATAGGTAATTCATACTTACTATACAAATATTTTTAGAAATAAGTAAAATGAAGAAAAAGAAAACAAACTTCCCTATAATTCCACCACTCAAAAGATAACCAGCTAAAAGGAAGACTATCCTTTTGGACTGAAATTTATATGCTGTGTACACACTTCTTCCTATTCTTATAAAGGATTTTTTTTTTTTTTTGAGACAGAATCTCAAGCGTAGAGTCTCAAGGGTGACTCTGTCACCCTGGGTAGAGTGCTATGGCATCACAGCACTTAATATATTGTGACCATGTTATCATGTTAATAAACATATTTCCACATCATTTATTAGCTGTTCATTTCTCTATAGTATCGTTTACCATAATTGATTTCTACTAATCCCTTATGAGAAGGGACACTAAGAAAGGGCTTGAAGAGGGGCAGGAGGAAAACCTGGCCTGCTGAACCAGGAAGTCTGGAGGGCCCATAAGAATGTGAGTGTTAAGTAACCTAGGTAACTGATGACCAACAGAAAGAGAATTAATGACCAATAGAAAGGAGCAATACTGCCTGGAGGCACAGAGAAGCCAATAAAAGACTTGTAACCAACTCCAAATAGAAAAGTATTTATGCTTTTGCAGACCTTTGCTTCTCCATCTCTCTCACCTTTTCTCCTCCATGAGAGGAATCCACTTCCAACCCTTAGGAAGTGCTCTAAACTTTCTCTTTGCTCTTCCTAAATCAAATCTCTTTATTACCCTGAAATTTGTGCAAGTTATTTTTACTTTCTATCTGCATTGCCTGTGCCACTCCAGTTTTATTTTCAGTTTCTACTCACTTTTGAACTTTCTAGCTCAGCCAAGTAATAGAACCAGGTCAAGTGGGTTTGGGGAAATGGGACCCCCAATACCTTATATTTGAGTTGTTTCTACTTTTTTACTAAAAATGAATAAGGTTTCTACCATTTTTTTTCTTGAGACAGAGTCTCACTTCATTGTCCTTGATAGAGTACTGTGGCCTCACAGCAACCTCAAACTCTTGGGCTCAGGGAATATTATGCAGCCTTAAAGAAAGATGGAGACGAGATTCTGCCAGCCTCTTTATCTGTGGTTCTGTCTTTTGATGTGGCCTTGGGGACAAGTTCTGAACTTTTGGATTCAACACTAACCTTGCACAATGTCCTTGAAACCAAGAGTAGTAGATTTTGATGAAACATGGAACAAACTTTTAACTACTATCAAAGCTGTTGTCACATTGGCATACGTCGAAAGAGCAACATGGAATGATCACTTCTCAGATATCTATGCTTTATGTGTGGCCTATCCTGAACTCCTTGGAGAAAGACTTTATACAGAAACTAAGATTTTTTTTTGGAAAATCACGTTCGGCATTTGCACAGGACAGTTCTGGAATCTGAAGAACAAGTACTTGTTATGTATCATAGGTATTGGGAAGAATATAGCAAGGGTGCAGACTATATGGACTGCTTATATAGGTATCTCAACACCCAGTTTATTAAAAAGAATAAATTGACAGAAGCTGACCTTCGGTATGGCTATGGTGGTGTAGATATGAATGAACCACTTATGGAAATAAGAGAGCTAGCATTGGATATGTGGAGGAAATTGATGGTTGAACAACTTCAGACCATTCTTATACGAATGCTGCTCTGAGAAATCAAAAATGATCGCGGTGGAGAAGACCCAAATCAGAAAGCAATCCATGGGGTTATTGACTCCTTTGTTCATGTTGAGCAGTATAAGAAAAAATTCCCCATGAAGTTTTATCAGGAACTATTTGAGTCCTCCTTTCTGACTGAAACAGGAGAGTATTATAAACAAGAATCTTCAAATTTATTACAAGAATCAAGCTGCTCACAGTATATGGAAAAGGTTCTAGGTAGATTAAAAGATGAAGAAATTCGATGTCGAAAATACTTAAATGCAAGTTCATATACTAAAGTGATACATGGGGTGGTGCCTGTGGCTCAGTGAGTAGGGTGTCAGCCCTATATACCAAGGGTGGTGAGTTCAAACCCAGCCCTGGCAAAACTGCAACAACAAGAAAAATAATTAAAAAAAAAATAAAGTTTTAAAGTGATACATGAATGTCAACAATGAATGGTAGCAGACCACTTACAGTTCTTACACGCAGAATGTCACAGTATCATTCAACAGGAGAAGAAAAATGACATGGAAAATGTCTTACTCTGTGCTGTGTCCACTGGTTTACCTCATAGGATTCAGGAGCTGCAAAACCATATCCACAATGAGGGCCTTAGAGGAACCAGTAACCTTACTCAGGAAAATATGCCAACTCTATTTGTGGAATCAGTTTGGGAAGTACACGGTAAATTTGTTCAACTTATTAACACTGTTTTGAATGGTGATCAGCACTTTATGAGTGCACTGGATAAGGCCCTTACATCAGTTGTAAATTACAGAGAACCCAAGTCTGTGTGCAAAGCACCTGAACTGCTTGCTAAGTACTGTGACAACTTACTAAAGAAATCAGCAAAAGGGATGACAGAGAATGAAGTGGAAGACAAACTCACAAGCTTCATCACTGTTTTCAAATATATTGATGATAAAGATGTTTTTCAAAAGTTCTACGCAAGAATGCTGGCAAAACGTCTAATTCATGGGTTATCTATGTCTAGGGATTCTGAAGAAGCCACGATCAATAAACTAAAGCAAGCCTGTGGTTATGAGTTTACCAGCAAGCTACATCGGATGTATACAAATATGAGCGTCAGTGCTGATCTCAACAATAAGTTCAACAATCTTATCAAAAATCAAGACACAGTAATAGATTTGGGAATTAGTTTTCAAATATATGTTCTACAGGCTGGTGCATGGCCTCTAACTCAGGCTCCTTCATCCACATTTGCGATTCCCCAGGAATTAGGGAAAAGTGTATAGATGTTTGAATTATTTTACAGCCAGCATTTCAGTGGAAGGAAACTGACATGGTTACATTATCTGAGTACAGGTGAAGTTACAATGAACTATTTGGGCAAACCATATGTAGCCATGGTCACAACATACCAAATAGCAGTCCTTCTTGCCTTTAACAACAATGAAACTGTCAGCTATAAAGAGCTTCAAGACAGCACTTCGATGAATAAAAAGGAACTGACAAAAACAATCAAATCATTGCTTGATATGAAAATGATTAACCACGATTCAGAAAAGGAAGACTTCAATGCAGAATCTTCATTTTCAAGAAATACGAACTTTAGCAGTAAAAGAACAAAATTTAAAATCACTACATCTATGCAGAAAGACACTCCACAGGAAATGGAGCAGACTAGAGCTGTTGATGAGGACCGGAAAACGTATCTCCAAGCTGCTATAGTTTGTATCATGAAAGCATGGAAAATGCTTCGGCCCAATGCTCTTATTCAAGAGGTGATTAGCCAGTCAAGAGCTAGGTTTAATCCCAGTATCAGCATGATTAAGAAGTGTATTGAAGTTCTGATAGACAAACAGTACATCGAACGCAGCCAAGCATCGGCAGATGAGTATAGCTACGTCGCGTGATGTCACTCTCCTCCAGTGTGAGTGTGAGACAATCATCGCCATCACCATTTGGGGTATTCCTATGGGAAGAAGCAGGTCTGTGCCTCCATAATTTGGTCATTCGGCAGCCCCTGTTTTTCTGCTGTTTACAGCAACACCAGTGCCATGTCATGAGCGTCAAAGAAAACGCCTAGAAATACTTCAAGCTCATGTCATTGTGACATTTCTTAAAACTTTATTTAAAAAAGTGAGTGAAGTATTGCTGAAATGTAGAAATTTGGTTGGGTACCATGCTTTTATCCCCCTTCACGTTTGCAGTTGATTTTTTTTTAAATGTATCTTAAAGGACATAAAATTAAAAAACTTAAATATTGTAATATGATAGATAACCTAATAATTGTATCTACATCAAAATGGCAAACATGATATGGCTGCTTGTCAAATAAAAAAGATAAAGAAATAAAAAAGAAAGAAAGAAAGATGGAGACTTTACCTCCTTCATGTTTACCTGGATGGAGATGGAACATACTCTTCTCAGCAAAGTACCTCAAGAATGGAAGAAAAAGTATCCAATGTACTCAGCCCTACTATGAAACTAATTTATAGCTTTCAGATGAAAGCTATAACCCAATTATAGCTCAAGAATATGGGGAAAGGAGAAAGGGAGGGGAGGGGAGGGGAGGGGGCAGGATGGGTGGAGGGAGGGTAATGGGTAGGACCATACCTACAGTGCATCTTATAAGGGTACATGTGAAACTTACTGTGTTTCCCAAAAAATAAGACCTACCCAAAAAATAAGTCCTAGCAGAATTTCTATGCATTTGTTAAATATAAGCCCTACTCTGACAATAAGACCTAGCAATGGGCTCGGTGCCTGTGGCTCAAGTGGCTAAGGTGCCAACCACATACACCTAAGGTGGCGGGTTCAAATCCAGCCTGGGCCCACCAAACAACAATGACAGCTGCAACCAAAAAATAGCCAGGTGTTGTGGTGGGCGCCTGTAGGTCCCAGCTACTTGGGAGGTGGAGACAGGAGACTCGCTTGAGCCCAGGAGGTGGCTGTGATGTCACTGCACTCTACCCAGGGTGACAGCTTGAGGCGCTGTCTCAAAAAAAAAAAGAAAAGAAAAAAAGAAAAGACCTAGTGATGTGCAGATATACTGCACAGCCACTCCATGCATTTTGGAGCAGAAAGGAAGACACCCCCTGAAAATAAGCCCTAGTGTGTCTTCTTGAGAAAAAATAAATATAAGACAGTGTCTTATTTTGGGGGAAACACAGTAAATGTATAATATAAATATCGTAACATAGTAACTGAGAAAATGCCATGAAGGCTATGTTAAACAGTTTGATGAAAATATTTAAAATTGTATGTAAAACCAGCACATTATACCCCATGACTGCATTAATGTACACAGCTATGATTTAATTAAAAAAAAAAAAAACTCTTGGGCTCAGGCAATCCTCTTGCCTCAGCCTCCTAAGTAGCTGGGACTACAGGTACCTGCCACAATGCCCAGCTATTTTTAGAGACGGGTCTCACTCTTGTTCAGGCTGGTCTCCAACTCCTAAGCTCAGGCAATCCACCCACTTCAGCCTCCCAGAGTGCTAGGATTATAGGCATCAGTCACTGCACCTGGCCTTGTTTCTACTTTTTTTTGGGGGGGGGCGGGGCTTGGTGATTAATTTACCTGTAGCCCATTATTTCCCTAAGGGTCAACTACTAGAAGTAGAATTTCTGGGTAAACATTTCTAAATTACACCAATTTATAAAATTTTGCTTGTTTTCATTTCTTATGGTATTATAATCATGTATTGAGACAGAGCTATGGGTGCTACCTTATGTTTTATTTTTTCAAGACAGACTCTCACTGTGGCACCCTAGGTAGAGTGCTATAGCATCACAGCTCACAGCAACCTCTAACCCTTGGGCTCAGGCAATTCTCTTGCCTCAACCTCCCAAGTAGCTGGGACTATAGGCTCCCACCACAATGTCTGGCTATTTTTTCTGTTGCAGTTGTCATTGTTGCTTAGTTGGCCCAGGCTGTGTTCGAAGCTGGCAGCCTTGGTGTATGTGGCCAGAGCTGTAACCACTGTGCTACAGGTGCCAAGCCATATCCTATTTCTTCTTTTTTTTTTTTTTTGTAGAGACAGTCTCACTTTATTGCCCTTGGTAGACTGCCGTGATGTCACACAGCTCACAGCAACCTCCAACTCCTGGGCTTAGGGGATTCACCTGCCTCAGCCTCCCAAGTAGCTGGGACTACAGGTGCCCACCACAACGCCCAGCTACATTTTTGTTGCAGTTTGGCCGGGGCCAGGTTTGAACCTACCACCCTCGTATATAGGGCTGGCGCCCTACTCACTGAACCACAGGTGCCGCCCGCCCTATCCTATTTTTTAATAAAAATATTTCCCCATGTTATCATATGTGTTCTGTACAAGCGATTTTTCCCTTTTACTTTTTTTATTTTGCACTATAAAAACAACCACCAGTCGCATACTAGTTTTCTTCACATTTGCATGGGTTTTAAAAATAATTGCCTTTTCCCCTGGAGACATAACCTACAGACAAAAAAGTAGTACCACACAGCAAAATCTGCAAATCCACAAAGCCAAAAGCTGAAAGACAGGGCACAGGTGAAGGGGCAGGGAAGAAAACAACCGTCACGAGAGAGGAGACACAAGCACAGAGCATATAGGACAGTAAGCTGAGGAGATCTCCATTTTTCAATACCACCTACCCAGAACACCTAGCAGGTGCCCTTTTCCTCCTGGGATCTACAGCCACCATTTTAAAGGGGTCATTTTTGGTCTGTGATCTGAAAAATGCTTTTCAAATTAAGAGATTCTCTGAGGAAAGGTGCAGTGAGTCTGAATAAGAATGCCGAAGTCTAAGGTCAGGGAAGACCCACAGTGGAAAAGAAACCTAGAAAGCCCAAACCTTGCTACTTCAACCAACTACCTCTATTGGACCCAAGAAGGCGTCTCAAAAAACATTTCAGGGTTCAAGTCAGTATGTATCTCACATCCCTACAAACCCAGGAGGGTGACTTTCCAGACTCCATAATGACTGGCTATGCCTTCAAGCAACAGAGACCCACACTGAAAACTGCCAAGGGTTCAAAAAATAAGGTGGAAATTGTGCTTCCTTCAAAATGAATCGGCTTTGTGACCGCCTGTTCCCCTAGTCGCCCACATTCCTGCAGGTGTTTGTTGCCTTACCCTTGAGATGAAAAGGCGAACTCTGAGGTGTGAGGACTGTGCAGTCCTGAGAAGGCCCAGGGGTCTGGAGGTACCGGAGTTAGAATGTCTTGGCCAAGAACCCATCTCCAAGGTCGTCTAAAGTTCGTTTGCAAGCCTGGTGACTGCTGACCATCGCACTGGGGCAGTGGGACAGAGCAAAGCGTTCACTACTGCACAAGTATGAAACGTCCACGAGTTTAAGAAATAAAAGACAGTTGCTCTTGGGGTTGGGGTGGCTCCTCTATCCCAGTTTCAGCAGGATGTAGCTGTGGCCACAGGGCTCAGAGACCATCCAGCATATGGGCCCCGGCTACAGCACCGAGGCAGGGAACATGCAGCAGGCGCCTTGCACATCAGGTCTCCATGTAAGTGGCCTAGTAAGGAGGAGTTCCCAGCCCCCCTTGGCAGGAGGGTGGCTGGGGGTTGGGGGGTAGAAAGCAGGATTCTGGATTCACATTGCAGGAGCTGATCCATCAAGCCAACAGTGGGCAAGATCACGAGCGTCCTCTGCTTCAAGTACTCGAAAGCCTTCTTCAGGTGGAACTAGTTGGTTTTCACGCTCTAAGCCACACAGGTGGTGGGTGAGCTGGAGATGCTGGCCTCACAGTGGGCGGGGATCTTACCTCCCTTTTCCCTAACAAGGTCAGTAAAGTCTATTGCTTCTTGAAAGTGGGAGCCAATGTCAGCCGTGTGGCTGTCTTCCACAGGGATGCATTTGTAGTGTTGCAGGCCTTGGAGGTCCACGGGGAGACATACCGCAGGGCTGGGATGTGCAAGTTGGCGGCAACTCGCACTTCGATGCCTGGTAGACATTTCCAAGGTAGAAGGAAAGAATCTCACTCTCTCTTTTTGTGTTAATTAGGCCCAGGTGAGGTTTGAACCACTGCCCCTGGTGTGCGGGGGTGGGGTGCTAACCACTGAGCTATGGGGCCCAGCTAGAAGGGAAGAATTTCACCTGGACCACCCAGGTAGTAAACTGGTCTGTAGCTGACATTTAGCACTGGCTTTCCACACTGGCTGATGAGGGCTCTTTCTCTCTTTCCTTTTCTTTAAATCCTTCTGCAAACAATGCCATCCTGGTCCTGTGATCCCAGCAGGTCCCAGCCTTAACCTGACCTCCTGCAGGATCCCGCAGAATTTTGCAGCCTCCTGGCCTGTGCTCTGGCTGGATTTCTGCAGATTGGAAGCTGGAAAGACAAGGTTGGGGTCAATGAAAATCCGGACTCCGCGTCTTGAGGCCATTCCAATCACGAGTAAGACTCAGAAAACCTTTGGAAGGCCGCCAGCACTTTGCCATTCTCTCTGAACAACAGTGATAACACCCAGGACTTCACGTAAACGACTTTTGGGCCCTGATCGTCCCCCAATATCAGTTTTGGACTTTGAAGGAGACGAAACTCCAAGAACCGGCGCAGAGGACCGAGAGACCAGAGCAGCATGCCGCCTGCCCTTCTTTTCTTTTTTTTTTCTAAGGCAGAGTCTCACTGTGTTGCCCTTGGTAGAATGCCATGGCATCATAGCTCACAGCAACCTCACACTCTTGAGCTCAAGCGATCTTCTTGCCTCAGTTATTTATTTATTTATTTATTTATTTATTTTCATTTTTAGTAGAGACCGGTCTCACTGTGGCTCAGGCTGGTCTTGAACTTGTGAGCTCAGGCAATCCACCCGCCTCAGCCTCCCAGCATTACAGGCCTGAGCCACCTTCAGGGCCGGCGAGCTCACTCTCGCTCTTGTCTTGGGAAATGGGTTTCACACCCACCCAACACTCTGGG